ATCTTAGATAATCATAGTACAACGATTGAAACCAGGACATTTACATTTACGCAGTCTTACTAACTAATTTACAGACCTTATTAGAATTTTGCCAGTTTTCCTTTCAATGCCTTTTTTTCTGGTCCAGGATCCAGTCCAGGATCACACATCGCATTTATTTGTCGTGCCTTCTTAACAACACCTTACCGCAGACTTCTCCTGCAGTCTGCCGTACTTCCTCGGGCTTGCATTATCCTTCATGATCTTGACACTTCTGAAGTGCAGTGGGTCATGTATTTTGTAGAATGTTCCTTAATTTGGGTTTGTCTACAGTTCTCTAAAATATCCTGCAAGGTTTCTTCACTGTAAATCTATTATTTTATTTCTCCATTTGTAATTAATATGTATATTGTGGGGAGATACTTTGAGACTCTGCAGAAGTTCTGTTTCTCATCATAACTTTCTTCTACTAATTTTAGCATCCATCAGTGCTTCTTGCCTGCAATAATAATTCTGCAGCATTTGCTCAGTGGTGATTTTCTGTTCTCATCATTTCTTCTATGTTTAGTCTGTAGAATTCTATTGTAAGGTAGAACAGTCCCTTCATCCCCATTTATTTATTTATTCATTCAACTATTTTTCTTACTTAGGTTGTGGATTATAATCTAATACTATCATTACTTATTTTGTTGCTCAGATTGTCCCAGCTTCGGCTATTAGGAGCTCCTTTATAGTAGTTCCCGTAGCCTTTCAGCGTGCTCCCATCAGTGTTTTTGAGCTCTCCTTTACTTTCTGGCACTACAAGATGTATTAGATTCATCTTGTGTCTTCCCTGCTTAACCTTAGAATCGTCTATTTCTCCATGGTTCCTTTGGGAAGAAAATAGTATTTAGAAACCAAGATTTGGGCACTAGGTGTGCTCATTGCCACCAACATGTCATTGTTTCTAAGCCCGAAGAACAAAATATTTTTAATGAATTCCTTCTCCCAATACTCTGTGTTCTCTTTTCATCCTTTATTTACAGGTACAATTATTACCTGGTTGTGGTTAGTGTATATTTAATTTTTTTCCTGAAATATCCTTTGTTTCCTTAGATATTTCATATATGGATATGGTATTTTAAAATAATTAATTCAAAGGTAATATAGTGCCGATCTGTATTAATATTGGTTATTCATTCTGTTTTATTGGATTTTTTGTCTTTAATATGTAGTTAACATTATCTGTATACAAATAAGCCCTTCTTGTTTTGAAATATATCTTGTGATATGGTTCTAAAAGTGGGATCACTGTGTTAGATGACAGTTTTATGACTCTTTAAAAAAATACAGATTGAATGAATTATTTAAAATCTTAATCAGGAAACTGGGGAGAAATTGTTCCCCAAAGTGATCACATTTTTTAA